TTATCAGTAACACCGTTATCAGTAACACCGTTATCAGTAACACCGTTTTCAGTAACACCTTTATCAGTAACACCTTTCGTTAATGAAACATGAAGGGTTCTATTTGCATGTCGATGACCATACCAATATTCTCCACCGTTATCCCCACCGGAAAGTATTAAAGTGTTACGTGTCTTTCAGGAAAGGAATTCTTGTCAAGAAGACACAAATATGGTTCATGCTTGTCCTTACTTTTCTTTGTTCTCTTCTTTTTTGGTAGAGTTGAGAAGAAACCCATTTTGGAAGAGACGTTACTACCAGTAAAACTGAAAACAACCGTTGTGATATGTTATTGATCATGAAAACAAATAAAATTTCTGCACCGTGAGCAAACGCGGCTTGAAATAATTATATAAACGAAGATGCAAGAACGCGATTGCCCGAAAAACAGGAATCCAATTTGACCCTGGCAGAAAGCACACTACTGGTGCATAGGCATAAATACGTTGTATCTTTTTATTGTAGTAATCATGTGACAACGCTAAAGAGGATCCAGATAGTCGGCTATGACATGCAGTACAGAACACAGCTAATCAGTTCATAAGAAAGTGATTATCTCTTCGACGGTAGTACACCCAACCATTCCATCATCAACTGCGCTCACACTCCCGCAGAAAATAATGGCAAATTGTGCCATTTCCAGCTTCTTTCGAGTGGTTAACAATAACAGCTTTAATGTATGTGCATTATTTGTATTCTGAATCATGAAATGTTTTGCTTCAATAATCTCAATAGCGTTCATAAGATCGTGGTAATTGATACCTTAGTTCGAAGTCACTTCCAAGAAATCTGTGCGTATCCTGTTTTGATTGTGATGCCCTGGGTTTTCATTGATAAGGCATAAAAAAATCCATGCAACACTTCTCGCCAAATAGCAGGGAATATCCCACTTTTCATTTATTTTCTTGTATAAACGCTCACCTAAAGGCTTGAGAGCTGTGGGCTCTTCTAAAGTAATCTGCGAGAAGGCTTTGCATAACTAGTACATTGTAGAAATTACTCATTTCGGTGTTTAACCTAAGGTAATCCTCCTTTTCAAGAGGGATCTCCTCAAATGTGATACCAATGCAAGAGATTCAATCTTATCTTTAAACGCCATTTTTTCAATCACACCCATCACGGAAATCACAGAAAAATACATACATCATCAATCGAATTTCGCTTGTATTACGTGGACGACCGCATTAAGTTGTGTGTTTGTTCGTAGACAAAATATGAAGAAATAGCAGACTTCATGTGGCGTTGGACCTAGGAAATTAAGTGAGATTACCGCCTTTGACCTCTTTGGGGGGGCTTAATCTTTTAAACTTTGATCTTTCTTGACAAGACCAGACAGCTAAGGCTTTCAAGATATGAAAGGATTGCCACATTTCCTTTTTTTTAACTTCCGTATTACTGAATTTACAGAATAACACCATGAATTAACAGCGCTTTTTCCAAAGAATACGTCTCTGTTTGTCACGGTTAATAACTTTCAATATTTTAATCAATTTGTGCGCTTTATTTCTTCAAAATGGTAAAAATTTATGCTTGACGACTACTGTCACGAGAGCCTTACGATGGTAACCCAAGGTTAATACCTAAATACAAGTGCGCAGAGGAAAACAACAAAGAAGCCGCTATCATTCTTATATGCGATAAAGATCTACAAGATAGGAAAAAGACAAAAACAGGCAAGGGGCTGTTTTGAATAGACATCGAGGATATTTAAACAAAATCAAATCAATTTTTTTTTGTTTTCAAAAAGTCCTGTTATAAATTTTAAAAATAATTGCTTCTTTTTTTTTTTTAGGAATGATTTTCAATAGACAATTTCCGAGTTTCCTTTTTGTCTTTCTCACAAAACAGGCGTCAAATAAGAAATGAATTTTACCTTTACGTACAGCAGCTCATTTTCATGCAAATAAAAATCATTTAGGCGAGCAAAAAGATTTGCACCCTTATTCGCTTCACAGGAACCATAACCACTGCGGCAGTGAAACTGAAATTATTATTATAAATGCTTTCTTGAGGTCAAACGTCTTAAACGTGCTTTTAATAGCTTTACAAATAAACGAAAATAGGTTCGAACATTAAGAGTCCATCGCCAACAATCTTGGGCAGTCTGTTTGTAAGTTGACATGTCTGCCTTGTCATGAATATGTTTTTTTTTCTTGTGTGTTTACTACGATGAGACAAGTCAGATTGCTCACGGTTTTCGGGTGCAATTTAGGAAGTATTTCTTCTTCTTGGATATTCCGTCTCGGACACTCAGTGGGAAGTTCTTGTAAGTATTAAGCCTTACTGCCTGTCTCTTTTTTATTGTGTGCGACATATTATTACTTAAAAAGTGTGTTGACAACGATCGAACTCGAGCTTAAACTTTAAAGGTACACACAATACGCAATAGTAAACAAGGGAAGGAACTTGTTTCTTTCGTTGGTATCTTCTTCAACTAAAACCAGATCTTCATTATTCTCTACTCTTGTGTCGTCTGCCCCAGCATGACCGTAAAACTAAGGAAAATTATTTTATCGAGCTAAACTTAGTAAAATTTTAAGATATTTCAAGTTATGTGATAATAGTCTGCATGGTAGAATGATCTGTCTCAAGAGCTTTAAAGCTGAATTTACGTAAATAAAACTGTCTCCCCTAAGGCTCGAACAAAACAATTTGTGCGAATTTGCTTAAAAAAAAAAAACTTAGGAAAAACACACTGCATTAAAACGTTGTTTTGGTGTTACTTTTGATCAGACGTTTGTTTATTTGAGTCTTTTTGTTGGTCAGTCTGTTTGTTTGTTTGCAGTTTGTCTTTTGCTCTAAGCCAAAGGTTTTAACTTCTTCGAGGTGTAAGAACTTGAAATTAACGTTTTTTGGTCTGATTAATTTTAATAGAGCCAAGTTGTTGTTTTAGGTTTTCAATTTCGACATTTCCTTTTGGGAAAGTAGAGGGCAAGCAGAAATTGACTGAAAGGAGTAAAAACCTAACAAGTACTTCTTGCGAAATTGATGATTAGGAACACCTGTTTTTAGTTTTACAATTTATAAAGTTTATTCAAAAATGTGTCCAAGCCACTTTTAGAGGTGCTAGTCATAAATCCAAATATTCGTCCATGTTTACTCCAGAAACTACTCTGAAAGACTTATGGAAAAAGAACTTTTTTAACACCATTGGGATAACGTCACGAAAACGTGTTGCGATGTTTGCGTGTTACGATGCTCTTTAAAGTCCTTTGTTTTATGTTGATTTTGAAAATTTTGAAACCTATTATGGAATTAAATTCATAAAGAGAATAATAGATTCCGTAACTTGTGATTAAAAATTTTGTGCTTCATTAGGAACTTCCGTTACAAAAAGCATCCGTTTAGAATCAAATGTTTTCAATGTGGCTTGCAATTCTGCTCGCGTATTAGAGTACTCGAGAAAAATTTTTGACTAACTCTTTAGAGCCGTGCAATAAAATATTACATCAGCCTATTTATTTGCCAAAAGCAAATAAACCTGGCAGTCTGTTGCTGTTAGCTTCAAAGTTTTTTTATGGTTTTGTTTGCTTTCATTTGACGACCCCAAGGGAGACGATAAACCTGAGAATAGAGCAACAACAACACAGATGTTATAAAAAGCGAAAAACAAACAACGCGACGACAGAATATTATTTGGAGGCTACGTGTTGACTTACCAGACAATCAGCTGGCACTGTTATTATAATAGTCCTGGTGTATGCTGTTAACTTTTTCTGTGAGAAGTTTTGGCCTCCCTCTCATTATTGGTAAGTACCCAGCAATACCACTCTACACATTGATCATTTTAAGCGAAATTTCTTAGAACCTTTATTTGGGGAATTTCGCTCATGTATTATAAAATTATTACAAAAAATATCGGGTATTGACATAGCCCTGAAGTTGCCATTTCTGTTTTCAAACTAAATCAGCCCTTATGAGAATGGAGAGCTTTTCGATAACGTCGCTCTCCCTAACATAGACTTCTCATGATTTATAAGTTTGAAATGTATACAGTGAGCAATCTAAAAGCTTAGAAGCTGTTCACAGAAATTTTTTTATATTTTCAATAAAAACTTGGTTAGATTTAAAAATTTTGTTTCTGAAAGACGGCTGAAAGAAGTCAGATCTTAGTTTATTTAGGTGTAAATGAAAACATTTACACAACGGTGTTTCCGAGAGTATGAGATTTCTGACATTTCGAAGCAATCTGGTGGAAACGAATGTTTAAAAGACAGAACGGCGCGCTAAAAAAGTATTTTCAGCTTTAAAAACATCGTCGGTGCTAGCTTTCAATTCCGAAGGTGTTTTTTCTTTGAAGATCCGGCGAATACATGGCCGAAAAAAATTTACAAATAGCAATTACTGCTGAAGTTAACACACAGCTGTTATTAACTATGTAAAAATTAAACTGTTTTTTCTTTTTCGTCATTGTGACAGCTCAAATTAACTTTAAATTTACTTTGGACAAATGAGTCAAACTGTTGAATTAAAATTTAACATTTCATCCAAGTTTTTATCACTATAGGAAATATAATTAGAGCATTGTTATGAAGGACTGCCTGGGGTTACTAAGATGTTAACGAAACAATTTTGTAAAGCTTTGTTGTCTAACTCACTCACTTTGCGAAGAATCCATTTTCTTAGAACGCCTATAATGGTCTGTCTTTTACCATCTTTAATGAGGAATGATTTTCTAAACACTTTTTACAGAATAAAGGCTGATAGTTTCTAAAGAAAATGTTTGGGGCTGCGTCGGTGGGAGTAACGAAATAGTTTGAATATATCAACAAAGTTGAAATGGTAAATTGGCCAACGTTACGATTATAAAAGCTGACGTTTCGAGCGTTAGCCCTTCGTCGGAGCGAATAGAGAAATTGTGGGTCGTGTGTGCTTTTAAAGGCAGAGAAAGGAGCTACGTGATTGGTGGGAACATGGCAACGAGAAAAACACGAATAAACTGGTGGAATGAAAAGCGTTCGTTGATACCTGTGGGATTTAGACTGCCGGTTTGAAAGATGAGCTTTTGTTCAAAACGTCAGCTTTTATAATCGTAACGGTGGCCAATTTACCATTTCAACTTTGTTGATATATTCAAATTACTTTTTACAGAACAAGCATAACTTTCCAAAACCTTTCAGGCTTTGTTTATTTTTCTGTTATTTTAAGATATCCGGTCCAGAAGGTAAATTTAGAAACTTCTCTAAAGGTTCTAAAGAGGAAAAAAAGCAAAATCTATAAAGATGGTAGACCAGAGAAGGCTGAACTCGAATTACAGTTAGGTTCATTCGTATCTAATGAGATACACGTATGTGATGACATCCCTGCCTCTAGACATGAAGGAATGTGCGAAAATAAGTTTGGATGCGTGTGTGAGAGAGATCTTTCAAAGCCGTTTAGGATAAAATAATTTATGTGTGTGTTTTTGAATTGGTATTGTAGCATCCCTTCAGAATCTGATGTACACCTGTGCGATGACGTCACGTATGCTGAGTTTGGCTGTTGGACTTCTCCTTTTTCAGAGAAAGGCATTCAGTTGCCATGGAAATTGTTCCTGCAACAACTCGACGATGTATTGTACTAATATAACCTTGGCGACAGCTCCAGCAAACCCTTTGTCAGATGTTAATAATGAGCAGCGACAAACTCATTATGTATTGACACGAAAAAACATTTCTTTTCTAAACATTAGTATTGCTTCGTCGTCATCTTTGTCTCTTTTCGAGGAAAACAACGTTCTACAAAGTTTCATATGCATTCTAAGTATCTCAGCGATCCTTGTAAACGTATTGACAATGACTGTGATTTTTTCTAAACCCCAGCTTAAGTCTCTTAGCACTATATACTTAGCTGGACACGTCGCCGTCTGTGACCTCTTGATTGCACTTTATCTATTGGTTGCTGTTATTCATACTGTAGTCCTCTCCATTTTAGATGATCAAACCAGGCAATACTCAGATAATTGGCAGAAGTTTGTCTGTCCACTGACAATCTCAGTTCGTTCCATCGGGCAGCTTGTTGAACCAGTTGTTTTGTTCTTCATGACGTTAGATCGCTACAAACGCATAGTAAACTTTTCCAAGCCTCCTCCACGCTACAGATCTATCTCTATAGCGACAAACCTGATATGGTTCGCTGCCATTGTTGTAGTTTTTGGAAGCCTATCCGTCCTGTTTGGAAAACAAAGCTTCTCTGGAGCTTTATGCTCACGAACAGACACATCCGCGAAAACTATCGACTCGTACGTGGAAAGAGTCCTCATCATAAGCAGCTCTATATTGTTTATTACATGTTGTGGCATGTATTTTCGGATCTACAGAGTGGTGAAAAACCAGAATCAACGAATGGGAACACAAGCTTATGTCCGAGTGTCCAACGTAATATTTGCCCTGGTGTTGAGCACGTTTGTGTTATGGTTCGTTCCCGCCATGGTTGTGGCTTTCATCGGAAGTCAGGACTCTTCCATGAAAGAAATAAGACAACTGATAATCGTGTCTTCGTTCACAACAAATTCGCTGGTTAATCCTTTTATTTATGTATTCAGAGAAAAGAAATTCCAACGAGTTGCTTTTTCCTGGTTAAATCGCACATGTTCAAAAAGAAGAGGAATGCCAGCTGGCAATAAGGTCACCTCCTTCAGAATTGACTCTGCTATAAATGAGAATAATGTAACAAACCTTGGGAATAGCAATGAGACAGAGCAATTTTTCACAACTTCACTTTAAGAACAAAACCAAAACTAATAAATAGCAATCATTTTTCTAGTTTTATAAGTAAGTTCCGTGCAGATAGAGAACTAGCTAAGGTTGACGTAGGAGGTCAAATTGTAATCTTAAATTTGTAAACTATATACTCCACATTGAACTTGAGGATCAAAGGCTTGACAAAAAGTACAATCTTTCTCTTTTTTTTTCGCTTCAGGTCGCTTAAAAAAGTGTATTGATTCTTAAAAATAACAGCGTAATTTGCTTTTGCAGCAAGGTATGGGTTTTTTACCAACGAAGGAGATGTAGCCAACTCAAGTATTTCTTTTGGCTTTCTTTGAGAGATTTTTAGAAACTCATATTAGCTGCTGATAGTACTATTGTCTCTGATTAATTGAATCTTTGGATAGGGGTCTGTAGGTTCTAAATGTATCGGTTCAGCATTAATTCAAGGCATCGAGTAATACATAAAGCTGGAATTTTTTTGGCTCCTTGATATTAAATAAAGGAAATATATGTTACACAGAGGCACGGAATCCACTTCAAAATCAAGTTTGTAACAATGCTTTTTCAGCGAATATGAGATAAAGAAAGAAAAAATATATTAAACCACAATTAAGTTGAGACGAAAGGACTCTGCCTTGAAAATAATTTCCAAATTTTAAATGAGTTACAGACGGTGCCAGCAAAGTACTTGATAAGCAAAATGTTTATTACTATNCCCCACAAAATGCCGTTTGTGGGGGCTATCAGTTGACGGTAAAATGTTTAAAGATATTGAAACCAAACGAAAATCTAAAGGGGACCCAGCTGGCCATCATCCGTCCACTTGCAACAGGCCAGGTTTTCACTTTGCGTGTATGTTTTGGGGTTAATTAAAACAAATTACTTGTTTTCGACAAAGCTAAACTGGGTAACTTGACATCTCATTAATTAAAATTTCATTAAGCCAAACTGAGTCAATTCCACAGTGCACGTGTGAATTCTAATGGTACTTTTTAACGTTCTCTAGAACAGAGTCGAATTCGGTTATTCTATTTTTTTTCCGCGATAGGAATAATTTCTGTTGGAAAAAAAAACAATGTTGCCCGATATGCAACTTTTTCGTCAGGTTTTAGGCTAAGAATGTGTTACTGCGCTTTTTGGTCCCTGGCCGGACCAAAACTGATGGTCTTAAAATAACTGAGGAGAATTTGCTACCTTTCTATAATATCAAGAAATGGATAGATATTCTAGTCTTCTCGGATAAGGACGAATAAACCGTAGGCCCCGTCTCCTGCGGGGTTAGGGGTAGGAGACGTTAATTTCCCACGCACGAGATTACTGTGTGGTGGATGTCCTCCCCTGGGGTGGGATGGGTGGGTGTTAAACTAACTATCTGCTAAACTGGGCTACCCTGTATAAATATTCGTACATACATACATACAAATACATTTTAGAAGAAATAGACCACGACAGTTTTTATTGACTGCATGAGAGCAAATCATCTTGAAAATTACACTCAAGAGTAGGGTTCACATGTAGAGATAACAGCAAACTATGAAACTTTGTGGTCGATTTTCACGTCAAAAACTGAAGGTCTTGGCAATATCGGCTATTAATCGTCGTAGTTTAGATTGTTTCTGAGAGGACTATTATCAGTTTAGTGGTGAAACAAGCGTTGACTCAAAAAGAAATTTAATTAGTTCATTAAAGGGTTTGAATGAAAAATCCTTTTAGGGGGAAGAAAGCAAATAGATCTTAATTGTTTAATGAGCTGAGATGGTTAGGTAGCCACAGGTAATTGGATGAGTCTCCTTCTTTCGGCACAAGATGAGAAGCTTTCAAATCGTTTTTCAAATTTCGTGATCGAGTAAGATCAGTATTCAACAGCCAGTGATAACGAAAAAGAAGATTTGCAACTTTAGCCTGACGGTAAGTTTTGATGTGTATCACTCTTGTGCATAGAAAGTTTAAATTTTTGGTTTTCCAATCATTATTCATTGCCCTAGCTCACAAGAATTAGACTATACAGAAGACATATGAAAAACACCCATTCACAAGAAAATATTTCATCATTTTTCAAATTCAAATTTTATTCTTGATATGAGGAACATGCTAACTTCAAAAAAACTATTGATTCTCATTGGTTTTTTTTCTTTTCGAGTTTTCAGAAAGAGATATTAAATCAAAATTTTAATAGTGGACGAAAATACAATTCTAACTATAAAAATGGCCGATATGATGACAAGTAAACTGCCACTGCAACAGAAGTATGGGGATATAAGCTATTGCTTGTTTAACTGTAGAAACTCATTTTGTCGTATTGTCAGAAAGAAATCTAGTGGAAGAGCAAATTTTCGTTCAACTCTTAGAAATTTGCAATTTACAGTATGAAACTGATCATAGATGTATGTAAGCTATATTCACACGGTGATTTGTGACGTTAGGCACAGTTCAGACGTGACAAGTTACAATAAATCTTCTACCGTCTCCAAGAGAAACTTGTGACGATGGATTTATTGTAAATGGTAATTATGGCGGCAACCCGGCATATGATGTCATACATAAGCCATTAAAAATAGCTGCTGTTTGAGAATTTCAGATCAAAACTTCTGATAGTCATTTCCAATTCTTCGTTTCACTTTCGTATTTGTATCAATCTTGATCTAGCAGATGTCCAGTTCACTCGGGTGGCAACTTATTCTGGAATTTGAGGAAAAACAATTTCTTATTCTTTCTTTGCTTATAACATCATCGATAAACAATATATTCTTATGACACCATCGGTAAACTACTCTCAACGATCGTTTGTCGATACTTCATTTGTAAACCAAAAAAATTATGCATATAACTCAGTTGAGGGGGCGTTATAAGATCGGTCTTACAAAAAGGAAATTCATAGTCCTAGAGTCTTTCGAATTGCCCTGGACCTGATTTAGTGAGTGTAAATCCAGGCGACAGTATGTGTATCAACAACGCAAAGACCAGCAAAGAAACACCAATGTAGATGGTACTGAGGGACCAAGAAAACGCTTATAGCCAATCGTAATGGGTTTTAATTTTACATCTGGCTGATTGAAAAGGCGGTTTGAAGTATTTAATAGTTAATGTGACCAAAAACAACCACAAATTACTCTTATCACTTTATTGGTAGTTATGTTAAACGGGCGTTTTGTGTGAGATTGACATACATTAAGTAAACAGCCTTAATTCCCCATTTGTAACTTTGCTGCTTTAATTTCAGAATTTTTTCTTCGATTTTACTCGATTATTTGCAAACTTGTGGCCAGGAAAATCTGTTGTGAATTTAGAAAAACGAGAACTATTTTAGAAAGAAAATTATCAAATCAGTTTTGACTAGCACCCACAAAACACAAGTGGTGTGTCATGTTTGGACTTGCAAATGAACTATTGGTATTGTAATTGCACTCTCTGGTTTCACTGGTTTTGCCATAGAAACATTTTTTTTTCTAATTCGGAGGGAAGACTAAACACACATAAGAAAAAATCATTTAAAGTCAATACCATAGAACGCAAGGAGTTTCCTGCCCAACACAAATTATTGATCGTTTCAGTCAGTTTCCGAATTAAATGAGGTTCATGCGTTAACAACAAGTCAATCAAAACAAGACCCGTCATACCTTGGCAAAACCACGCAACTTTTAAATTATTTACATAGTTTATCCAAGTATTATGTATATCTGTTTAAAGACAGAGATGTTTTCAGTTGTGTGTTGGTATTAGAGGTAAAGCAAAGGAAAATACAATCGTCAATGTACGAGGTAAGATAAAGATTTTTGTTGTCATAACTGAATACTCGATCGTGTATATATATAACAAATTGCGTTTATGAATTAGTTTCCCCTTAAATTGTAGCTCCGCTGTATGGGATATCTTGCAGATGTTTCTGAAGATCTAATTCAATTGATGACCACCGTGCTTGCTTTAAATTTGTGTAATACCTGAAGCCAGGATTAGTCAAGTCCTTTGATAAAACTTTGCTTGCAAAATTAAATTTATTTGAGTCAGTCTACACGGGTAAATTGTGCAAACTCGTCCAAATCTCGAACAGTAGAATCCATTGTAAACGCTTAGCCGGCCATCAGAATTTGTATAGGTAATCGCATGGGGCCGAGTAAAATTAAGGATTAATATCACGCGTGTTTTCGGAAGTTGCTGAAATTGCCCGAGTCGCGCAGCGACAAGGGCAATTTCTGCAACTTCCGAAAACGCAAGTGATATTAACCCTTAATTTTGCGAGGAACCATATGATTACTTGTTTATAATATAAGGGCCAAAATTTTTTCTTACTGATCTCGCGCAAAACGGGACGCCATTGTTACAAAACAAACAGAAATTTCTTTACCTCGGCAGTCGTTGCTAAGCGATTTTCATCCAATCATTTTCAAGTAATTTTGCCCGGGGCAATTACAGAAATTAAGAAAAAAATGCCCTCTGTCTTGACCAGTCACAATTCAGTAATTTTGCCCCTTTATACATGATAAATCCTTCTAAAGTGTTCTCACTTTTGTCTAAGCTTTGTAAATCGAAAGCCACAGGCTTAGATATGATATCTTCGCGACTTCTTAGGGAGTGCGCCGATCTGATAGCTGATCCATTGTGTTCTATTTTTAATCAGTCCATCAGATCAGGTGTTTTCCCTCAGGAATGGAAATGCGCAAAGGTTATCCCACTTTTCAAAGAGGGAGATCACTCCGACTTAAACAATTATCGCCCAATTTCTATCGTCCCTATAGTAGCTAAGGTGTTTGAGCGTATCATTTACGACCAGGTTTACGGTTATCTCACTGAAAACAATTTGATTTCCAGCCAGCAATCTGGCTTTCGTTCGCTCCATTCAACTGTTACTGCCTTGTTGGAGGCCACAAACAATTGGGCCTTCAACATTGATAAAGGCTGAATATGGTATCCGCGGTATCGCTTATGAATGGTTTAGCTCATACCTAGATAATCGCCATCAACAATGTTTTGTAAATGGTTCGCTCTCAATTAGTCAAGTTCTCACTTGTGGAATTCCGCAAGGAACAATTCTAGGACCTTTGCTTTTTGTTCTATACATAAATGATCTTCCTAATTGCCTGTCTAATTCAGTTGCACGTATGTATGCCGACGATACTCACCTGACCTTTGCCAGTAACAACATAGAAATGATCAATGATGTTATGAATCACGACCTATCCAATGTTAACACATGGCTCACTGCAAACAA